CTCCCCTGCTCACACTCTTGTCTCTCTCTCTCTCTCTCAAAAATAAACACTAAAAAATTAACCAAAAAAAAGAAGAAATCTTGCCATTTGCGAAAACATGGACAGACTACATGGTGTTATGCAAAGTCAGACAAAGACAGATATTATAGAATTTCCTTTATATGTGGAATTTCAGAAAGAGAAGAGAAAACAAAGGAAACAGACTCTTAAATACAGAGAACAGAGGGGTGCCTGGATGGGCCAGTCAGTTAAGGGTCTGCCTGCTGATTTCAGCTCAGGTCATGATCTCACAGTTCGTGGGATCGAGCCCTGTGTCAGGCACTGTGCCCACAGCGCAGAGCCTGCTTGGGATTCTCTCTCTCTGTCTCTGCCTGACTGTGCCCTGCTCTCTGTCTCTCTCTCTCTCCAAATAAATAAATATTTACAAAAATTTAAATACAGAGAACTGGTGGTCACCAGAGGGGAGGTGGGTGGAGCGAAACAGATGAAGAGGGTTCAGAGGTAGAAAGTTCAGTTATGAGATAGACAAGTGGTCCCACATGGGGAATACAGTCAAACATCGTGTAATGACTGCATGGTGATAGATGGAAACCGCACCTATCGTGGGGATCATTTTGTAATAGATAAAAATATAGAATCACTATGATGTACACCTGAAACTAACAGGACACACGTTGTGCATTCAACCGAAACTAACAGGACATCGTGTATTCCCCGAAACTAACGGCACATAGTGTACTGGTTGTATTTAAAATTTTTTTTTCAACGTTTTTTTTTTTTTTGGGACAGAGAGAGACAGAGCACGAACGGGGGAGGGGCAGAGAGAGAGAGGGAGACACAGAATCGGAAACAGGCTCCAGGCTCTGAGCCATCAGCCCAGAGCCTGACGTGGGGCTCGAACTCACGCGAGATCACGCGAGATCTCGGGAGATCATGACCTGAGCCGAAGTCGGTCGCTTAACCGACTGCGCCACCCAGGCGCCCCTGTACTGGTTGTATTTAAAAGAGAAGGGGCTCAGTCCCACAAGCCTGTCCCCAACCCCGACCTCAACGCCAATCCCAAGTCTCTGTGGTCACCTGGTCCCATGACCCCCTCTTGGGTTCCACTGATTTGCTCCCAGAGCTCAGGAAAACAGTTTACTTACTGCTCCCTGGCATATTGTAAAAGGATATGACAAAGGACACATAGGAACATCCACAAGGAACAGACGTGTAGGGCCAGGTGTGCAGGGAAGGGCGTGGAGCTGCCCCCATCCTCCAGTGTGCCATTCTCCTGGCCCCTTGACGTGCTCCACAGTCGAGAACCTCTCAGGACATGCGTACTCGGGATTGCGGTGAAGCCTTCATGAGGGACGCATGACGTATCAACTCCTCTGCCAGCCCTGGTCCCCTGACTACACAATGGGGATGCAATCAAAGCTCCGAGGTTGCCAGCGTGGCTTGGACTTTCTGCTGACCAGCCTCCAGGATTGTCTCCACAGAGCAGAAGATGCTCCTGTCACCCAGGGAACAACAAGGAATGTAGGAGGTATGTGAGGAAGCACGCTCAGAGACCAAA